GTATAATATATTGTGTTGCATAGCATATTGTGTTGTATAATATATTGTGTAGTATATAATATATGGTATAGTATAATTAATACATTGTGTTGTATAACATATTTTGCATGCTAACCTATGTTTTGTTTGTTTTTCTAGATGACTTCAGGTCATATCGGTCCCTTCAGCACCATTCAGATAGAAATCTTGTTCTCTCCTGTCAAAGCTGGTAACGCCTTGGCTGACTTTGAGATTTCCTTCACGGATCCTCTCTCTCCCCCAGTAAGTACATTTGACATCTACTCTCTATCCCCCTGTAAGTATTATGTTTGCTTTTTCCCTCTAGATCCCTAGGTATTTCTACCCCCCGTAAGTAGCTTTTGGATCTACTACGGGGCAGACTGCATCGTTTGACAGACCTGTTCTCATTGGCTAACCAAAACACGAAAAACTTCCACTCCAAATAGAAAACCAATTGTCTTAAATTCAATACTAACCCTAAACCCCAACCCTAAGGCTGCAGACACACGACAAGACAAAACCTGCAACGGTGCATGAACAATTGTTTTTGGGGTGCCGCGCAATGCAAGTTGCATGTGACGTTGCAACATCAGATATTGCCTGTTACCGGCAACGTCGCTTGCAACATTGCACTCTGTGTCCACACCTAAACCCAGACCTTAGTCAGTCAGGAGTGACTACAAACAGTGAAGGTATACACCGAATCAAAATGTAGCGATCAATTTGAATAACTATTGTTCTGGACTGACTGGCCTCTCATACATGTGAAAACGCTTTTGTGTTTCCACGTGAACACGAGGCTAGTCGGTCCAGAACAATAGTTATTCAAATAGGACGCTAAAATTCAATTCAGGGTATAGTGTTTATTCTCTAAATCTTAAATTCTTACCCTCTTAGTTTTTATATACCTCTTAAAACTGGACCATGTATTGGTTTACTAGATAATGTTACGAGGTCGAGGGTGTGGCATTGATGTTCCTGTATGGGTAGAGAGAGAAGTGGTGGACCTTAAGATCTGTATGTACGACAGGCTGTATCAAGACGCTATACTCGTCCATAACAGGTATTTACTCATCCAAAGCAACATTTTGCTTGTTTAATAGCCACGACAATACATCCCTAGCCTTCCCTAGCCATCCCTAGCCATCCCTAGCCATCCCTAGCCATCCCTAGCCATCCCTAGCCATCCCTAGCCATCTCTAGCCATCCCTAGCCATCTCTGGCCATCCCTAGCCATCCCTAGCCATCCCTAGCCATCCCTAGCCATCCCTAGCCCTCCCTAGCCCTCCCTAGCCATCTCTAGCCATCCCTAGCCATCCCTAGCCCTCCCTAGCCATCCCTAGCCATCCCTAGCCCTCCCTAGCCATCCCTAGCCATCCCTAGCCCTCCCTAGCCATCTCTAGCCATCCCTAGCCATCCCTAGCCATCCCTAACCACCCTTAGCCATCCCTAGCCATCCCTAGCCATCCCTAGCCATCCCTAGCCATCCCTAGCCCTCCCTAGCCATCTCTAGCCATCCCTAGCCATCCCTAACCACCCTTAGCCATCCCTAGCCATCCTTTACCATCCATAGCCATAGATAGCCATCCAATACCATCCTTTATCATCCCTAGCCAACCCTAGCCATAGCACCTGTGTCGTTTCATCTAATGGTTCGTATCCTGTATCACATCTTATTTCAGAGCTACTTCCGCCTTGAGGTTGAAGTTTGAAGTCTGTAAAGAACTGAAAAACCACCTTGAACTGTTACCCAAGATGGCGTACATCCAGGCCGAATCACAATTCTCTGCCCAGCTGAAGTTTCTTCCCAGGTAAACAAAACAACAATAACATTAACTAGTTACTAAAACAACAACAGAACTTCAGCACAACTCCTTCAGCACCAAGCTTTTTCTTACTCGAAATTCACAACAGATAGATAAAGGAGCTCAGTTGTTTTTCATTGCATATATAGGAGTTTGGAAATTGTATGCGCCGTTAAATGCCACGCGCATTTTTATTCGCCGTATTTGCTACAATTGTTTCACTTGACTTTTGATTATCTTATGACGTCATCTATTGTATATAAGATTACGAACTACAAGCAAAAGTCCCCTTCACAGTTCCCTGCGCCATCTTGAAAGGTAACCGTGCCTTTGTATCAAAGCAAGACGAACGGTGAGCTTGCAATGATAGAGACATGTGAATAATTTTCCAAGGCGTTAAAAAAGGTCTCTATCATTGCAAGGTCACCGTTCGTCACGCCCCGATGAGATTGCACGGCTACCTTTCGAGATGGCGCAGGGAACTGTGAAGGGGACTATTGGCTAATTTACGTCATCTCTTTTTTTTAGGCAATCGTTGATAACTGATTGTCCGACCTACTTTGATGCGGAGACAGGTGTGCTAGAAGCTCCTATGGTGATACGAGTAGCTGATCAGGTGGGTCATCGAGAGAGTAGTAATCATGAACTAAGTATAGGGTCAGTCCTCTTTCATTAATAGTACACTCGCCTTTCACCACTGTGGTCTCGAGTTAGATTCCTGGGCTCAGCATCGCATATGAATAGAGTTTTGTTAGGTCTCTCGCTTGATTCGAGGGTTTTAATTATCCTAAATTCCAATCCTATCTGTGAGTTTGCCGTGCCCTGGCTTAGATCAGCACAGAGGTTGTTTCAGTGTTCAATCTGTGAGTTAGCCATACTCTGACTTATATCAGCC